TATTCTCTGGGTTTAGATCCTGGACTGTGTTAAAGAGGTGAAGGTGAGCTGAGAGGAAGTGCATGCATCCATTTTCTGCTCTTGATTGTGCATGTGAACAGCTGCCTCAAGTTCCTGCCACCTTGACGTCCCCACAATGATGTGCTGTGATCTGGAACTATGAGCCAACATAAGCCTTTTTTCCTGTGAGTTGCTGTTGTCAGGGTGTTTTATCACAGCAACTGGAAAGGAAACTAAAACAGGCCCCATAAGTTATCCCTTAGTGATACCATAGGTATTTAGCTTAAATAACCCTGTGATTCACACAATGATAAAATTGACTAATAATACATTTCCCAGGACATTTCTTCATTGTTAGTAAAGTATGATGGTACCAGCGTCTATTTTTTCATTTATTTCTTGGTAGACATTTATGTTGTTTCTAGTCTTTGATTATTTCAAATAAGCTACTATGAGCATTAATGCACAAATCTTATATGGATCTATGCTTTTATTCTTCTTGGGTAAATATCTAGGAGAACAGCACCTAAATCATCTGTAGCTGAACTTGGTTGAATAGTGTTCCCAGTCATGTCTCCTGGAGTTTCAGAGTGTGACTTTATTTGGAAGCAGAGTCTTTGCAGATGCAATCAGTTAAGGCACTAAGTCTGAAGATCGATGTCCTTATAAGAAGGCCAAGTAAAGGCACAGAAAGACCCAGGGGAGAAGGCCATGTGATAAAAGAGGAGCAGTTTACAGCAGATCACAGAGGCACAGCCACAGCCACAAGCAAGTGATGGCAACACAGCCCCAAGAAGCCTCTGAGCTCAAGCCCTTGAAATCCTTGTGCTTCAAGTGCATTCCCACGCACAATAGATCATCCTCTGCTTTCATGTGTTGTTTTTCCCCATCTCTCCCCTCTGTGAACACGGTTGAGGACTCATCCTGCCCTGTTGTTTGTGGTGCAGCAGATGTTTGTGCTGCGTGCTCTTCATTTGCCCCTCGGACTCATCTGTAGCTCTGCATTCTTATCTGTGCTCTGGAAAGCTGACTTCTGTGGGCTTCCTTGCTTTCTGAATTCCTGCTGGGCTTGGCCAGTGGGAAGCCATCAGAGTATAGGGACAGATAGAAGGTCTTTATTCTCTTAACCTCTTCCCTCGCAGGATCAGTTGTTCTTAGATGGTCTCCTGTCCTGTAGATGTCTCTGGTCCCTTGGGTACAGCTCTCACTAAACTCCTATAACCCCTTCCTGCCCCTGTTCTTTGAGGCCTAGGTACAGAAATGACTTCCAGCCAAAACCTCAGTGCTTGCTACCAATTTGGGCTTCCCACTTTGCCTGAGCTTCAGTATATAATCCCCTGGTTACATTTTTGCTACAACTAGTTTCACTTTTTCTTGCTGAGATCTTGATTCCTACCTACAGTGCTCAAAATAATTCATTGATTTTGGCCCCAATCAGATCCTGTGCATTAAGAGACCTTTATATTTCCACATTTTCTTCAGTGTTTTCATTCAACAGAGCTCAGGTTCCCAATGTTTTTCTCAAGTTTCAAATGACTACAAATACTATATTCCTTTCAGGTTCATTCCTTCTTCTCTCCCTGCCTTCTTCCCTCCCTCCCTCCCTCCCTCCCTCCCTTCCTTCCTGTCTTCCTTCCCTCCTTCCCACAGCAGTGTTATCTGTGGACAGGGTCTAGACCCAGTGTTTCCAGGTTCTTGGTCTCTTATTCAAGAATGAAATAAAAGCTGGCATAGATTGCAAAGTATTAAGGAAGCTTTATTCAATGAAAAGTTATAGGAGAGATTAGAAAGGAATGAACTGTCAAGATTGACAGCCAACCACACAAGGGAAGACACTGAAGGGCCCCAAGTTTATTGCCTAGGGTGTCTTCTTATGGGGTCTAAATGAGAGAGACTGGTTGCTAAGGGGTGTAGTTTGGTTCTCTATTTTGATTGCTATATTATGTTATATAATTATTTTTCTAATGTGCATGCCCATTCTCAACTTATTTTAATCATATGCACATCCAATTATGAGTAAGAGTAAAATGGCAAATAGGAGATTCTCCCTAAAAGTTCACTTGAAGACACAGTCTTGCCTTATTGTGTATGAACCCAGATCTAGGTCAGTCCAGATTGGCCTTTCTGGTCTTCTACCTGGATATAAGGAGAGTACCACTGAATAGAACTTGTTTAAGTCTGACTGTTGACAAGAGGTAGAGAAACCTAGCCCATCATTAATGCTGTTCTACATGTGCTTAGTATGTGCAGGTAAGGGTCTCAGGCTGCCAGGTGCATTATTATTATTAGAAAGAGGTGTGCATTTAGTCCAAGCAAAGTGAGGTGCCGGGTTGGTAAACCATTCTCTATGTAGGCCTACTTCAACAGAGTCTCTTTAAGAGCTTATCAAGTGCCTGGGGAGTGCTATCCTGGTGATTCAGAGAGATGTAAAATACAGGTAGTTCTTCATGGTACTCACATTCAGGTGAGACATAAATAAATAGCTAGTCCAAATTAAAAAGGATGAAGAGAGCAAAGGGAAGCTATATGAAGGCCCACTGCCGGGGTGCTTCTGGTTAGGGACAGGAGATCATTCCCAGTGGCACAGCCCTCTGGAGCCTTGCTTCTGAGCTGTTCTTGGAGCCTGATCTGTGAGCCTGCTTCCTCCACACACTCACAGATCCCAGAGGTAAATGTTTACGATATGTCAGCCTCTGTACTAAGCACTGTGCATCCCCTTAGCTCATTTACAACAACACTTTATCATCCAAAAATTAGCAAATGTTATCTTCTCCATTTTCTAGACAAAGGCTTAGAAACACTCAGTGATGGTGCTGGCATGTGACACCATGTCTTCCTTTAACCATCCCACTACACTGCACTGCCTCATAGACCTGAAATGGAAGACTGGAGTAAGCAAGGGTAATGCGCATTTTCTCAAAGGCTGAAAAGCTCCACCACAGATCTCTGCCTAAAAGCTGCAGTGCTTCGGGAAGACATGAAAAACAGTAGCTCTTTTCTGAGTCTTCTAATGTTGAACAGGATATGGGGTATCACAGGCCAGGAAGCAGGCCTCACCTCTCTTCATTATACTAATTGCTCTGAAGATGAAATACAACCTGTATTTTCCTCTCCTCATCCGACTCCTAGGCAGAACTCTGTCACTTCAGAATATTGTCTGTATGGATCAGGGAAGGGT